AGGAAGCTGGGTGATAATATCAACACCACTTACAAGCCGTTTGATAAAGAGACCAGTGCAGGCTGCACCGAACTCTACCAGGAAGGACCCCACTCTTCCCATGACCCACTGGAAACTGCTGTCTTTTCTAACAAAACATGATTGTCTCGGAAACCACTGAGCTCAATGCCTGCAAAGCTTCTGAGATGCCAGGCATGTCTCCTTCGGGGGTGGCTTATTCTTTCACCACAAGATGAGGGCCCTAGTTGAAGCTGGACACTTGGTTAGGAGTTCTCTGGGGGTTCTTTAAGAAATGCTATTTGGAATCCTGAGCAAAGGTCTGTGAACTTCAAAAATAACTTTACCATGGCTCCCTTTAGAAATAAGAGCCCCAGCCACATTCCCCTGACACTCATCCTTGGTCCCTACAGTAGCCCCCCTTCCCAAAGATCCATCTGCATGCTTATCTTTGGTCCATCTCTATTGTTGTGTCCAATGCTTCTCAGATTTCTCTGCTGTGCTATCTGGGCTATAAGACTAAAGTATGATGGGCTTCCCTGGGGTGTATAAGAGAAGTGCAGTCATCCTGGGGCACTGAGGTTCTGTCCAGGCAGGTCAGTGAGGGAACATTCTAGGGAAAATTGAGGTACATATGCTCCCAAGAGGGGTGGAGAGGGTGTTTCATTCCTTCAGTACGACTGCAGCTTCCATTCATTTCTCAGACGTTTCCCTGGTGCCTACACTGTGCCAGGCACGGCCTTCGCCCTCTTCGCTCTCCAGGCACCTCTTCCCTGGCCTCCTGCCTTCCCTCCTCTGAGAGGTGCCCAGACTCCACCTCCAGTGCAGAGCCTCCTGCTTCATCTATTCACTGAATAAAGATACTTCAACATTAAATTTGAGGAAAAGATTTTAAAGTCAAGAAGAGGAGGCAGCTTGCCCGGCTGATGTGGCTCAGTGGTTGAGCATCAACCCATGCACCAGGAGGTCACGGGTTCGATTCCCGCCAGGGCACATGCCCAGGTTGTGGGCCTGATCTCCAGTGGGGGGCCTGCAGGAGGCGGCCAATCGATGTTCTCTCTCATCGATGTTTCTATCTCTCTCTCCCTCTCCCTTTCTCTCTCTCTCAAATCAATAAAGAAAAAAACTTATTTTAAAAAGAAAGGGAGGCAGCTTAAAGATGCTGAATGCATCAAATCAGAGAGTTTAAAACCTAATTATTCTTTAGACATGGTCCTCGAAATGGCCTCAATCAATATTTATTGAATGATTAAGCAAATTTTACATTTGTGCTGTTGGTAAATAAAAGGATTTTTCTAATAAGCTCATCATTAGAAGAGATTACAAGAGGGAGTTTAACTTAAGAGGATAGTTCTCAAACCTATTGTTTTATCCATTCCAAATAATAGGCTTCGTACAAATTTCAAGTGTGCCTTAGGTAATTGTTAAAGAAAGTCTAAACCTTGTCTCCATTAGACAAGATTTCAAATCAGTTAATTTGTGTTGGCACTTAAAAGTGTGGGCAAAATAAGGGGTGGGAGGTTCTATGGAAAGTAGCCTTAGGGTGTGATCTGATTATAAATTCCCAACTAGGCAGGTCATGGTGGTAGTCATGCCCCAGCCCTATAACTTCTTTAGTGAAAGGTTTTAAGCTAACCTTGTCCATTGTTCTTGTGTATCTAGGTTAACATACCTTTGAAATACCAGAAGTAATAACCCTTGAAGTGGGTATTAACCCCCAAGAGAGCATAAAATCTGGTTCTAATCTTCCTCACATCACCTCCTTAATTTCAAATTCATAAAAGAAGCTGCAAAACTGTCATTCTCTGGAGCATTTGAGATCTTGCTTCCTGGCATATGTCGTCAGTTTGGCTCAAATAAACTCTTATAAAAATTCTCTACGGGTTCGGACATTCTTACATCGACAAAAGTAATAACAGTGAATGTCTTTTAAATAGCCCTTCTCCAAACCTGGCACCCATTCAGAATGATCTTCACTCCTTTCTCCCACCATACACCAAAGTGTCCTGGCAAAGTAACTCTTAAGAACATAACTTACTGCCTTAATCTATCAAATACAGGTAGTAATGGCACCTGTATCATAAGGTGGTCATTGAGAATTACATGGGATTCTGACAAGAAAATATTTTCAGGCATTTACACATTCTTTACCCTTTATTTATCTTCTAGGGCCCTTGTCCTGCAAGTCAGTCTGCAATCTTTCCTTAGGTCTTGAAGTCTGTAGCATTTATTGCCTCGGGGAAGGAGTGATAAGGCAGAAAACTACTTAGGAGTGGTCAAAATGAGGCCTTTCGACCTGTAAAATTTAACCCTTGAATAACTGAAGCATCAAGCTTGTGGCAAAAATATTAGAAATGGGAAAACAGAGAACTAGGAATATGAGTATTATCGAAACTATGGAAGGAAGGAGAGAGGAAGCAAAACATTGGTAGTAGGGTCCCAGAGAAAGGGGCCTGCCCCTGGGAAGTGGAGTGACAGAGTGCCTCCTGGCTGCAGGACAGAGGGATTTGTCGGTCAGAAAGGCTGAGGAGAGAGAGAAGAGCGTTTGGCTCTTTCCAGGTGCTGGAAACAGTGGCTTGTTCTCTGTGGAGTGATGGTGGTGCTGAGGTAGCAGGGAGAACCATGGCTTTGAGGTGTGGAGCAAAGAAGCAACCTGAGCAGTGGCCTGATGGAATGTCAAGTGTGGCAATTGGATTGGCAAAGCTAATTCGTATATTGGGATCCACAAAATGGAGTCTGCTCGTGGAGACACAAATCTAAACCTAAGTCACCCCGCACCTAGAGGAAGTACCTGTCACAGAAACCTAACATACACCAATCACAAGCTTCCAACTCAGCTTTAGCTGAGTTTTTAGAAAAATATGACCCGCTGCCCTTATAAGGAAATCTCTAATATCCTAGCCAATCCTATCCCGTTTCTGAGTTTCCAGATGCTTCTAATACTTTACAGAAAACTAGCTCTTGTTCCCTGGCCTGTTTGGCTCAGTGGTTGGAGCATTGGCCTGAGGACCAGAGAGTCCTGGGTTTGGTTCCCGTAGGGCACATACCAAAAAAAAATCTAGCTCTTGCACAACCATCCCTGGGGAAGAGTGCTCCACTGCTTTTAAGGCACAGTACTCCCCTAGCCCAAGGATTGTTTTTCCTTGAATAAATAACATCAAACTCAAATTGTTTCAGTTTGGTCATTTCATAGGATGCAATGGTAGATGCTACCATTGACAGATAAACTATAGAACATCAAGTCCCAGTAACTCCACATCACCTGGAAACTTAGACAAAACTTGGGATAGAGCAGAAGTCAAAATCCATTGAAATTAAGTTTCTGCTACCCAGAAGAATGAGCATTTAAAACAGAAATTAAAGCCATTTATTTAAAAAGTAAATTAAATTGAATTAATTAATTCTACATATCTCATCCAGACCTTGATATTTACTCCTACTCTAAGATAATGTGTGTGAGTGCCTGGTATATAATATGTGCTCAATAAATGCTAGTTGTTATTATGTTGTTGTTGTTGTTATTACCCTTGATCCTAGGACAAGACACTGAAGAAAGTCCTATTGTAGTAGAGGGACATGCTCAGCCTTCTCTGACTCTACCTTGTTCAAGCCTGCTTTGTTCCCATGGCCTTCAGGCAAATAGCTTCTACTTAGTCTTGCATGTAGACATGCTAACTATCAGAGGAATTTTTTTACTTGCTGCTTGAATGTTACCAAAACAGCCCCTTACCAGAAAGTGCCTCTCCAAAGGAGATAAGGAAAGTATGTATAAAAATAATGATTGTTTACCAAAGATTTACAAGAACCTTGTGACTGGATTCACATCAATTAGTAAGATCTTCCAGGACCCCTGCTGACTCCCAGATGTCTGCAGTGGTCAATTACCTCTTGCCCTTCCCATTTCCTCCTTCCTTTGACATAAAAGAAGCCTGAACTCTGTACTTTGGGAAGACAGATTTGAAGAACCACTAGATCTCCCATCTTCTTATTAGCACCTTCTTGATCAATAAACCTTTCCTTACTCCAAATTCCGGTACATCGACTTTGTACCAATAACACCACTGAACACTTTTTAAAAGTTCTATTACCTTCTCTTAAAGACCCAAAGAAGGAAAGGGGGTCCAATTTATTCCTTCCCACAGACACTCAAGTTAGTGCTTTGAACAATTATTGTGGGAAAATGGGCCATTGACAACCCAGAGAGGATAGCAGTGGAGAGTCTCCATGACTAGTTGTGTAAGTTCCCTCTTTATTTGTCTTTCTTAAAATTGACTTGACTACTTATGGACCTCTATAGAGAATATTATATATTCATCAGAGCAGCTTCCTTTTGGGCACACAATGAGTCTACATATCCCAGTTTCTCTTAGAAAGTTAAATGGGACCGTGTGATCAATTTTGACCAATGGAAGGGGGCAAAAGTAAGAGATGTCACTACTTGAACCCTAAAAGCCTTTCATGTGATCCTCTACAACCGGAAGAAAAGGGTTCTGAGGACCTATGAGACAGACAGAGCCACAGACCAGAGGAGCCCAGGTTCCTGAGAAGCCCCATGTAGGAGAGCCATGGGACTAGGACACTTGGATTGGACTGTCAGCTTGGTGAGAAATAAGCTTTCCTCAGGGCTAAGACATTAAAATGTGGGGGCTGTTTGACAAAGCAGTCAACTTTAGTACACTGTGTAAGGGTTAGAATAAGTTTATCAAACATGATTGTGGCTCCAACCTCTGTACCCCTACCTTCAACCCCTGTACCAAACTCAACCATTTTTAGCAGCCTTCCCAGAAATTAGAGAGTGTGTGAGTACAACTGCAGCTTATTTGCCTCCTCAATGTTCTTTAGGATATAGGCCTATAAAAGAGTAAGCATAAGGTGGTTTCATTTTAGGAACATGCATATCCTAGACTGAGAGAATTTTAGAAATGGAAGGCACATTTGTAGTCATCTGGTTCAACCATTAATACAAGTGAGGAAGTTCTCTGAGATCTGCTCTTACTGAAGTGGATCAGTGATGGAAACAGCCAAAACTGAGCATCAAAAGACCATCCAGTCTACCTGATGCATGTTCTCCATAGTTCTGGGAAGCAAAAGTGTAAAGTAATTTAAAACAATAAGGGTGTGTGTGTATGTGTGTGTGTAAAGGTGACAGTGGGTAACTGAGAACTTGCTGATGGATGAATGAGATTTGGAGGTGGGGGACATGTATGGACATGTATGTATGAAATGCTATCAGTTCTGAGCAATGATGAAAAGGTTTTACTACTGATATTTGTATAAAGACAACACAGCAGCCTTAGCAACACAACATTCCACACAGCTTGAGGATGACTTCTTTTGTGAAGAGAGAGCGTTCTCTACTCGTGCTTTTGAAGGACTGCAGGACATGCCACTCCAAAATATGGTGCTTTGGTGTATTGGCATTTTTGAGCTGAAGGCACTCAAGAAACAGCAAATTTAGGGAGAGGGTTTCTATGAACTCCTTTTACCTGCCTAAAGACAAAACCTCCAAAAGAAACTCGGTGGTCATAAATGCCCTCCCTTCTTCTCCTCAGGATTTTTATCAACCTGGGAAAATTGACTCATCACAGGAGAGATTAGAGGTCTGCACCACACCCAGACAAACTTTGTCACACACTATCTTATCTCCCATCTATTCCTCTAAGGGTCCAGTCATCTCTCCTAAAATTATTTACTCTCCCCTAAGTGACCTACATCTTCCCTGCTCTTCCCCTAACAAGATGGCATATAAGTTCTCAATTTCCATTACGTTTTTGGGTATTCACTTTTTTTGGTGCCTTTGCCCACATGATATTAAAAATTAATAAATTCGTATACCTTTTCTCCTGTTAATCTGCCTATAGTCAGTTTATCTCATAGACCCAACTATCAAACCCAGGAAGGAAGAGTTTCTTCTACACTTTTTTGGGGACATTGATTTCTTACCTCATATGCCTGTCCTCTGACAGATGATAAATTTATTTCTTTATTGATTGATGGAGAGATTTATTATTCTCTATGTATTTATTGGTTAATTCTTATATGTGCTCTCACCAGAGATCAAACCTGAAACCTTGGCATATGGGACAATGCTCTAACCAACTAAGCTACCCAGCCAGAGCCAGATGGTAAATTTCTTGTCACCTTATCTCTTTCTGAATCCCTCAGGGCATGGGAGTCTGGCTTGTACAAAATAGGTGCTCAATTGAAGAAGGTGAATGTAAAGAATTTGTGAATATCTCACACCCCATTCTTCTCCAAGGTTGACCAGGCCCCACACCTGCCTTCCTCAGGACTCTAGATTCTGCTTCGATAAAGAGAAGTATGGACTCTGGGAAGAAAGATTCATTTGACATGAACCCCAAGAAGGAATTTCTCTGCTGAGATGGACTTTTCATGGTCACCCAAGGGCCCAAATTTTATGACTAGTCAGAGTCTAGCAGCATTTGCTGACAGGGCTCCCCATGTAGTCTGTACACCTGGAAGAATCTCAGACTGAACTCAGCTTTCCATGCTATGCTCCTGCCATCTGAGTCAACTGTTATAAGGGAGTTTCTGGTTTTGTCTTTCAGCCACTGGACTAAGACCTGTCCTATCCAATCAGAATTGCACAACTATATCCTCATTTGCATCTATGCTGACCCATCAGAATGCACACTACCAAACAATCAGAACTGCACAATTCAGACCGATAAGAGCTGTATGAATTTGGAAATCTCATTTGCATAAAATTGGACCAGTTGGGAATCTGAGCAGGAGTTTTCTCCATAAAAAATGGCCTCCCCTTTGTTTCAGGAAGAGCAGTTTTGGTTTCCACCAAAAGCTGCGTCTAGAGGCTGACCTTGCCTTCAGAATCCTGACCAGTTCACTCCATATCAGTATCCCCAGAGCAGGGAGAGTTGGAGACCATGAAACTCAAAATAAACTGATTATATGTAGTTCTGGAAAATGGGAAGATTTGAAACTGTGTCACTAAAAATCAGCCACACTATTTGTTGATTGCAATTTGAGGATTATTCGGGTGAATCAGAATTGTCCAAGGCCTCTTCAGTTTATAGGCCCTAAGTAGATGCCATTAGCAGTAAAACCTCAAATTTCCTTAACTTTGGGCCCCACTTGCATAACCCAGAACCCTAGCCTCCTCTGGTCTACTTGTAGGGGCTCTAGAGGAGCACATGAGCTCACTGTCTTGGCCCTTGAAGCCAAGGCGAGCATTGAGGAGGCTGAGATTCCAGCTCAGGGCACGGACCCTGGGATCCCAGGCTGCAAACTTTACAGCCTTTATTCCCTGAGGTTCTCACTACCAGTGAACCACACTGTGTGCCCCCCTTGGGGCAAAATGGACCTCTCCCCAGTCCACATGGCACAGTGGCCCCTGACACCCAAGTAACCTCTGCTGCTGCTGCTCTGTGTAGTTCAGACCCAAGGCCAGATCCTGTCATCTTGCAGGCCTGTAAATATAATGGGTGCATGGCTAAGCAAAACTGGCTTTTTTTTTTTTTTAGCTCTTGAAGCAGCATTTTAAGGGCTGCCAGCTGTTTCCGGGGCTTGGTGGAGACAGGAAGTCGCCTTGGAGCAGATTTTCTTTGTTCTAGGAAGATACTTGGAGTTGCCCCTCTTGGTCAGGTCATGCAAGTGTAAAGACTAAGGGGGAAAGAGTACAGCAAGATCTTCTGTGGAAGACAAAGGCCTCTCTGCCACCTTTCATATGCAGAGTTGATCTCAAGGAAAAGGAGGGCCAATCTTCAAAAAGGCCCAGAAACTTCCTGGTGCTCAGGGATGCTGAGGAGGCTGATTAGAAAGGAGGTCAGGAATAACAGGAGTCCACCTTCAGAGAGGCAGCCCTGGACATGACCTGGAATCCATCAGAAACCCTGATGGTACAAGGTCTTGCCTGATTCAACCACCTTTTTCCCAGATGCTCTGCAAGGAAGCCTGAGCCCAGAGGTGGTGCATGAGTCTCCAGACCACAGCCTCAACCCTGCTGCATGTTAAAATCATCAAAGAAGCATCTAAAAATTATGGATGCTATAACACTCCAACAGCAATTTGTACCTCAATGTGTTTGTTTGTTTGTTTGTTTGTTTGTTTGTTTTTCAGCCCTTGAAGGAGCAATTTGGTTATTATTTGAAATCATCGAAAGGTAGAAATAATCAATGTCCCAGATAAATGGATGAACAAAATGTGATATGTTCATTCAATAGAATATTATTCATCCTTAAAAAGGAATGAAATTCTGACACATACTACAATGATGAATGAACATTGAAAACATTATGCTTAGTGCAATAAGCCAGTCATGAAAGGGCAAATATCGTATGATTCTACTTATATGAAGTACCTAGAGTAAGCAAATTTTAGAGACAAAAGTGGATGGTAGTTGCCAGGGCATTGGAGTGGGCAGGAGGGGAAAAGGAGAGTTATAATTTGATGGATATCAAGTTTCAGTTTGGGATGCTGAAAACATTCTGGAAGATGGATGGTGGTGATGGTTTGCACAACAGTGTAAGTGTACTTAATGCCATTGAACTGTACACTTAGAAATGGTTAAAGTGGCGAATTTTATGGTATTCATATTTTACCATGCACACAGAAAGTAGTATCAGGGAGGCAATATGGGACTTTTTTTGTGTTAGGCACACCTGAGGCCCTCAGGTTGAAAAAGTAGGTGACAAAGAACACCCTTTTTATAGAAAGGTGCTGGACCTTCTAGGCAAGACTTTAAAAAACAAACAAACAACAACAGCAACAAAAACAGAGGCAGGGAAAGGCCAAAGCCCTAAAAACAAACAAACATGTTTAAAAACAAAGCTCAACCAAGTAAATATGACCATCTAACTGGCTTTATTAAATGATTCATGAGTAGGGCAGCATCTCGTCCGGCAACTAGAAGGGCGCTCTGAAGGGTTGTACAACACGGCAGGTTTTCATAGGAAGACAAAAGATGGGGAGCTGCTAACAAAAGAAAAAAAATTATTTTTGAGTGGGGACATTATTCTTTTTTGTTTTTTATCCTCACCCGAGGACATTTTTCCATTTTTTGTTCAGGTAGAGTTGGGAGGCAGAGAGAGGAACAGAGAGAGAGAGAGAGAAACATCGATGTGAAAGGGACACATCGAGTGGCTGCCACCCGCACAACCGACCAGGGCCCGGAACAAACTGCAACCGAGGTACGTGCCCTTAGCGGGAACCGAACCCAGGTCTCTCAGGACCACAGGCCGACGCTCTAACCGCTGAGCCAAACCGGCCAGGGCACATTATTCTTTTTTGGAGGGGCGAGAGAAAGGAACTGTTTTTATGTAGCAGCTTGCCTCTTCTTTCTATGGGGTGAGGGGGAATGGAGAGGACCCATGTGACCGATTACCTCATTGGTATTGACCAGAACCTCCCAGACTGATTGGTTGATTATGCTAATGAGAGAGGTTGAAACTGCAGTTAGATCAGGTATTAAATCTGGGTTTGGTATCATGGGCTTTTAGCCCGAGCAACACCATTTTGAGCCTGTGGTTTTCTCTTTATCACCGACAAGAAAGCCACCAGAGCCCTGCCTTTCTGAATTCTGTGACTATCTAATGAATACCAATGAAGACAGAAAAAAATGTAAAAAGTGGCATCTACTCAAGTAGCTGTTAAATGGCAGAAAGAGAGGGTATAGGGTTCTTCCATCTTCAAGAGATTTGTTCTAAGCGTTATTTATAAAGATACTAGGAATGAGGTTGTCCTGGGCATTTCCCTTCCCCTCAAGCTAAGAGAAGGCACCTAACAGGTAGACCCAGAGTGCTAGACAGGGGTTTCCTGAGAAGCGTAACAAAATATGGCACCCCAAATGAGGCAATTTAACATAAGAAATATTTTGAGCTGAAAGCAATTGAGAAGAAGCAGATATAAGAAAAACTCTCTACCTTCTCCTTCTTTGCTTAAAAAAGCAGGATATAGATTTATAAAGGTGTCCCCCTCCCCTCTCTATCAAGAACAGAAGTTAAGCCCTGGCCGGTTTGGCTCAGCGGTTAGAGCGTCGGCCTGCGGTCCGGAGAGACCCGGGTTCGGTTCCCGCTAAGGGCACGTACTTCGGTTGCAGTTTGTCCC